AGTTAGCGCTCCCAGATATACGAATTCGTTCACTGCTTCTATGACGTCGTCTTCTGTCACGAGTGGTTGTAAGATTTGTGGTTGTGTGCTTATTTTCATACACTTCGTTTTGTTGGTGTTTATTATTAAACCCATTTTTGTAACTGATTTTTTGAATGCTACATATACCTCTAGTATAGCGTTTTCCGTTCTCCCAACAATATTGATATCATCAGCATAGGGAAGGATTTGCACTGATTTATTATATACTCAACCAATGATTGTGATTTGTGACATACGTATTATTTTTTCCGAAGCCAGATTGAACAGTATACAGGAGAGAGGGTCTCCCTGTCGCAGCCTGTTATTTGCTTTAAAAGGTTCAGAGAGTTCCCTCTGAATTCATACTCTACATTCAACTTTTTCAAGAGTTAGTTTTGTTAAATTTACCAACTGATTTGGTATCCCTAGTTCTTTTATTGCTTTGTACATTTGTCTTCTGTTCATAGAGTGGTAGACTGCTTTGTAGTCGATAAATATGTGATGAGTTTTTTTTAACCTATTCTCTATCCTTCCATTGTTGGATATAGGTCTCCCCCAGTTCTCTCCATTTTTCCCTATCTTGAGCTGTTCTCTGGCATGTGGGACCTCCTTGTTTCCTGATGTCATCTTTCCACCTCATCTGTGGTCTGCCTCTTGATCTCTTTGCATTGTATGGACGCCACTTTCCGATGGCATTGTTCCATCGTCCGTCTTGGAGACGTTCATTGTGTCCAGCCCATTTCCATTTCATGTGATTAGTATTAATGCCATATTCCAGTGTTTTTGCTAAAAAATTTTTTAGGGTTGCAATCTGATGAATTGTCGATTTACCACCTGTGAAACCAACCTGGTATTTTTCTACTATCCGTTCTACATATGGTGCCATACGATGACATAGTACTGTGCAAAATATTTTATATAATGCATTTAAAAGAAGCGTAATCTCTGTGGTTAGAGCATTCAAAGATATCTCCTTTTTTGTGTATGGTGCAAAGTATTCCAATATTCCACTCATTTCGAAGGGAGTTTTGTGTCTATATTTCTTTTATAAGCTGCTGTAATGCCATTATGGTACCTTAGCCATCTTCTTTATACAGTTCAGCTGGAGATTATCGATTCCGGGGAAACTTCAAGAATCGTTGGTGGTTCCTGTTTTCGTCTGCTCTCTTTACCTCATCTCTTTCGTTTTCTTTTTCTTTCTCTATATTAAGTGCCTGGTTAAGTATTCCACCCATCTATTCAATACATCTTTCCTTCAATGTCTTCCTTTATTCTGGTCCAGTTCTGATCCAGAATTCTGATAAATACAATCAGATATACAGACGATACCTTTATTTTAAGTGATAACATGAATGGATTACAATGCCTTTTAAATGCCATTGATAAAGTGGGAAGAGAGTTTGGCCTAAACATAAACTGTTCAAAAACAAAACACATGGTGTTTAGCCGTTTAGCAGTACATCAAGATGCACGATTATATGCTGATGGTCATATAATTCAAAGAGTGTCCAGTTTTAAATATCTTAGTTGCCATATTACTGAACAACTAGATCCAGATCAAGAGATAAAATGTAGAATCGAGATAGTCCGCACGACATTTTTAAAAATGAGGTCATTCTTCTATAATGATAACTTGCAACTTCAACTTCGAAAGCGCATGGTTAAATGCTACATTTGGTCAGTCCTCTTATACGGTGTCGAAGCATGGACATTAAAAATATCCACGATTAATCGTCTGGAGGCCTTTGAGATGTGGCTGCACAGACGTATACTAAAAATTCCATGGACGGCTATGATGACAAATGTGGCAGTCCTTGAAAGAGCAAATACTGCTCGCGAGCTGCTTGATAACATCAAATGTAGAAAGATGGCCTATTTTGGACACGTAGTAAGGGGAGACCGATATAATATTCTTCAACTTATTATGATAGGTAAAATCGAAGGACGCAGAGGAATTGGTAGAAAGCAGGCCTCTTGGTTGAAGGATATCAGGGAGTGGACAGGAATAAAGAAAGCTGAGCAACTATTTAGAATAGCTCGAGACAGAGACAGTTTCGCCATGTTAATCGCCAACGTCAAGGGGACTTGATAGGGCACGTTAAGAAGAAGATTCTGGTCCAGTAGGAGTCTAATCTGTCTGGTCTTCTTCATTTACATTTTGATTCCTTGGCCTATTGGTGATGTTTACCGAGCACCGTTTTACAACTGTCGCATCTCTCAGATTTCGCCCATTCCATTTTTTTCTATCCATTATATTTTCTTCACTGATGTTTGAAATTCTAGCCCTCAATATTGAGATCACTAGGTAATGTTCTGAGTCTATGTTTGCGCCTCTATAACTTCTGCGGTGTATTACATCTGTTCCATGCCTTGAATCTATTAAGGTGTGATCAATCTGACTCGTTGGTCTTCCATCAGGAGAGGTCCAGGTTACCTTGTTCTTGTGTTCAAAATAGCTGCTAGCGACTGCCATATTCAGTGCTGCTGCTAAGTTTATCAGTCGTAATCCATTGGTTGCGGTGATTGGTTCTGTTATTTCATTGCCTTGCTTTATTTGCACGTCTGTTTTTTTATATGGTCTTTCTGTTATATTCACCCATTTCTTTCTAACGCACATTTTTCTCATTGCTTCACATAGTTGTTTTCCTTGTTCTTGTCCAGAGTATATATTATTATCAATACTTTCTTCTATTCTGAACTCTTCCAAAGTTGAACTTCATCCACAGCCTAACACTGATTAATTTCCTATACGTTTTACTCACCACTACAACAAATTGTAGAATGAGACGCATTATCTCTCAAGCTATAATAAAATTAATTTTCCTTTCGATTGCATTATAGCTTTAAGACAATCCATAAAAATCTTTAAACTTTTTACCCACAGTGTATGAGTTTACAATTTATTGTGAGGTAAAAATTGATTTTGGGTGAGACATGTCTCTTAGCCGTTGGTAAGAATCAATTTTATCAAGTATTTTTACATTTTTAGAAGAGTAATACCTCATTTCAGCGTCCCTTCTAGATCGCGTCTGGGTGCCAAGGCACCCACGGTAAATACGCATATTATTGTTACTATCGAAATCCACAAAAACAAATCTGCTTTTCTGACATGTTTTTTGACAACCAAAATTTCGATATCGTTGTGACGTATTTTATTATCGGATATTACAACAATATTCCCTTTCCGTGAATAGCGCCTCTATGTTAGGTATTTGGTGTTCGATAATAAGTTACATTCCCTCAATATTTGTTTTACGAGCTGATGAGTCGAGATGAATCATTTGTGTACCCAATATATCACATTTTGAAAAGTTTAAACAAAAAATATTATTTATTGCATGTTATGCCCTCGATGTTTATGGTCATCAATATTAAGGTAGGCTCTGAAAAGACCAGTTGGTTTAGTTTTTTGTTTGATTCGGCGGGAAAAGGATTGGCCCTCTAAAGAACGTTTTCAGGATACACCAGTGACATTGTCACCGGTGATATACTGCTAATTGCTACGTGCTTAGCGATTGCTTATGTGTTCTCTTATTATTTACTATGATAGTGTAATAACACAGTGAAATAGAAAACTACATGTATACCACTTGCTATGCTATGTGTATGAAGAGTTGCCTAGACGTAGAAGCTAGAAGTAACATATTTGACAAGATATCCACACTGTAATGTGATTCTAAAAGGTGATTATCCTTTGTGAATGTACGATGTACAACGTTGCCACTTGTTAAAGGAATATGCCATCTAGTGGTGAACGTTACTGTTGCTACAATGAACTGTACTATTTTTAATTGAATGAAGTAGATACACTCAAATATGTTGTATATATTTTCGTAAGATAAAGTGGAAATACCGAATCGGCTTTTTTGATACCCGAATTTTACAGAAATATTCTATACAAAATGCAAAAAAGTTGTAAAATGTTAGAGGTTATGGTAAATTTCTAGAGCAGACACTGTTCCTACATACAAATAATTACAGAATTTCTCCGCTAGAGAGGCAACAAACACCTGAAGCAGCAACTAGAATTGCACTACGCCGTGTTCTGTTAAATTTATAGCTTGTTACTCATTGAACTTATCATATTATACAAACAGTATATTTTTAGCATTCCAATTAAATGTAAGTAAAATATGCCAGTCGATTTTATGGTTGCATGTACATATCAAAATTAATATAAGGATTATAGGCTCAAAAGAATGGTTACCAATATTTACACTGCAAGACTACTGAGAGTTTAAATTTTTACAAAACGTAGTAAGTAAGCTATAGAATAGTTCCCAAGATATGTAGAATTTACTAACAAGTGTAAAACAGATATATGTAACCAGAGAAGCTAAGTGAATAAATTGAGTAAGTAGTTATCATAACTATTTATAATACACCAGCTTTATTAGTTCTGAAGTTTTCATTAATGCATGTCTAACACATTTTTACCTTATTCATCAACATATCAACAATAGCAGAGTATAATTTTACTTTCTTGTTTACCTATATCCTCAGCTGAATGGAGAACATTTATTATGAAAACCACCCAAAAGATCTCATATCCATTTCTAAATCAAAGTTATCAGTAGTCCCTTCAGATTCTAGATATAACATAATGAGTGGTTGATTTGAAAGTATGTTTACAATGTAAGGCATGAAGTTTACATATTACATTATTTTGGGTGTCCGAAGGTATAGTAAATATAAATTCAGCTGTTTTTAGTAATTTTCACTATTAATGTAGTAGTTTTTAGAACTTATTCATTTAAGTACATTCATAAATGTTGTATGTTATCTATACATCCCTTTTATGTAGAGTTTTTCATTACATCTTCATTCAATATGTACATTCTAACTTATAAACGTTTATACACAATAATATGTTAGAAATGTTTAGTAGATCCTAACAATTTGTCTTATTTATGTAGATATTTAACAATCAATTATTTCTAAATCTTGTATTTACTTTTTCAGATAAGAATATATTCAAAATGTCTGAACCTGGTTCAAATTCTGTGGACAATGATACAAACACCAATGATTACAATATAGATAATTCAGATCCTCCATACACACCAAATAGTGACATGAGTACTGACACTGACAATTCAGATAGTTCCAAGCAATCAGAATCATCTGTGAATAGTTCAATCTCAGAGGATAATCAAGTATCCTTTGACAAACAGATAGACGAAACTTCAGATCAAACGAACTTGAATAAGTCAAGAGAACTTAAATCCATACTAGCTTTATCTAAAGAAGCTAATTTAAAAACTGATATATCACATAAAAGGAAAAAAGATTTAAAAGTTTTGTCAAGAGGGACTTTTGTGTATTCTGCTCCGAAGAGACCCATAAGAATGTCATCAGATAAAAAAGATGGTAGTATTAAATTTCCTGTTACAGCTGAAACAGAACTAGAGGACTCACATGAATCTGATGCAAAGTCTGATAGTGATAGTCATAGTGTTATAAAGAGAAAAAGAGATACTTCTAATGAAAGTAAAGAAAGAGCTTTATCAGAAGAGAGTGATAGAAGGGGTAAAAAAGGTCTAATTGCTGATTACAAAGTTTTTAAGGTGGGTAAAATGTATTTATTTTATTTTTTCAGCAGTAACTATACTTATTGATGTATATTTATTACAACAGTCATATTTTTTAATTTTGTGGTTATTTTATTTTTGTTTAATGTTTTCCTTTATTTATTGTATATCTATTACATCAAATTTTCTATTTAATTTGGCAAATGGTGAATTAGTCTATTTTATGATCAGCTTTTACACTATTTAGGTAAGTTACACTATTTTTGTTAATCAGATTAATGGTTGTCCTTGCATCAATTTCTTTGAGTTTTTTTATTGGTTTTTTTTTGGGAAATTTTACTGTGTATTTCTTGTATCAATATCAGTATATCAGTATAATTCAATACATCGACAGTTAAGGGGTAAAATGTCTTAAGCTAAGTATTCACTCTACACTAGAGTGGTATTAAAATTATAATTTTTTTATTATTTACATTTTTTTTTTTGATAATATACAAAATGATTGAAAATTTACTAATAGAGTATCACTTATGAATTTCTAATAAAGAAACTAAATGAGAAAAAAAACAACATTTTTGTTTACATTTTATTTTTCAATGACTCAAATGAGATGCAGAACCTTGATATTTAAAGAAAAACTATAAACAACAGTTTTTTTTGTGAATAGGTACTTATGAACTTATACTCAAAGTAAAAAATAGTTGTAAGTAATGCATTTAAAAACCATCAACATGAACTGTGGATTACCAAGTTATCGATAAAGATCTGAAAATAAGATTTTTTTATGTTGCTTGGCTCTACTTTGTTGAGTATATTTTTTTTACTTGAAATACAACAGACAAAAGTACATTAAGATAAAGTAATCGAAATTGGATACATTTCAGGATATTGAATATTCTTATATTCAAATTTTTAAAACTTTGAAAATTTACAAACAGACTCACAACTACACTGGACCTCTAGGGTGTTAACAGACTGCGCTACTGTTTAATAGTAAATTGAGCATAGTCACATTATTATCGAGTATTGTTTGTTACTACCTTTCCCCCCAGTCCCAACTGTCGTAAATTTAGTAATTATTTATACTAGTAAAATTGCTACATTTTTTAAATTTTTGCTATCTGACAGTGGCTGGAAATTACTATACAACAAAGCATTCATGCTCATAGCCAATATTTAAACAAAAAAAGATTCACATGTAGCTTGTTAACAAAATAATATACATAATAATATATATAATATCATGAATATACACTCCCATTATTCATGATTATTAAGTTGATTAAAGTTTTAGTTTAAATTCAATTAATATGTTTAATAAACCTTTATTTCGAAAATTTTACTAAATATAGGTATACAGGAAATATGTGTTTTATATTGGTATAAATTTAAACTGTACTGGAACAACCTTTCTGTGATCCAGAATGCTGCAACTCTCCACAAACTGTGGATGACATCACTTATCCTTATATAAGACAATAAATTCAAACATTTATCTATGGTTTTAGAAATTGCTGTTGGAATTCATCTGTTAGAAATTTCTAAGGCTGCAGCAAAAAATATTTTGCATACTTGTATATTTTCTCCATTTTTGTTTTTTTAAAAGCGTTATTAAAATTTTTTATCTTGTTCACTTGTAATTTTAAAGATTTATGTGGTTTACCACTATTCCTCAATATTTTGGCTCAATCTCTCTTCCATTGTCCTGTAGTTGTTTCTGTTTTCGGTTTTTAGGCTTCTGCTGAATTCGCGGTTATCCTCAGATATGGATAAAGACTGAAAAGAAGCCTAAAAATCTGGTTCAGCATCAGAATCATCGAATTCTGAATAGGAAGTGTTGCTACTACTCAAGCTACTGTCCTCTGTTAATGATTGTTTGTCAGCTTGTCTATTTTCTGATGTATAATTTTTTTAGAAATGCAACTGAAAAATATATAGGTATAATAACTACTTATATTACAATAATTGTTACCAATTGATGCAGTTCTGAATATAGCACTCACTGGAAGAGAATTGAAATTCTGCAATACTTTTCCTTCATCGATTTGAGCAGTTTCTAAAATAAAATTAAATTAAAAATAAAAATTAACTACCAGATTTTGTACCAAAAATACCTTTCTGTTTGTACCAAACACAAAGTTTTTAGCAATACTATCACAAGTCAAAATGTGCCACTCTAAATATCAAAAACTTAACTAGATTCTATCGAGCGTTGGACGCAACCTAAGTAGTGTCTGTAATGCAGCCAATATTGGGGACTGTGTGTATTTTAACGTTTACACCTGTTTCTAGTCCAAAACAAGTGATTTTTGAGTTATGCCACTATTGCAGCTAGTGAACGACATATTTAATTGCTATTTGTTTAAATAAAAACTGGTGCTTACTTAAAATGTTACAACAGTTGTAAAAAACTATGTTTTACCAAATGATAATAAAGACGAATATTTACTTATAAAAAATTGAGGTAGATAGTATAAAAATCTCTATTTAAACTAATACATTGCTTATGCTCTTTTGCCATTTAACTGTTGATAGTTTGATATTTTCTTCAATAGGTTCCATTTATTTAGTCAGTTTTTTAATCAATAATTGACTCTATTCTTTGTTATTTCTTGCTTATATTTTTAGTTTTTTACTGATTCACCCCTAACTTGATTGCTAAAACTAAACTTAAATTTATTTTGATCTGAATTAGTCATATGTTGTTTCAAGTGCTATCTCCTTTACGCAGGTTAGCAATTGATATGGTCACTCTTTCGTTCTAAAGAATTGTTTTGTGGGAAGAAGATATTTATCCATCTTGTGTCACTTATTCCCAGTATATCACTCTTTAATCTGCGTATCTCCTGCTGTATTTTTATTTGATATCCAAATTCTGAGATTTTTGTGTATGTTTAATAGTCCGGGAGTTTGGTTGAATCCTTGCCAAATCTGAGTCTCTATGAACCATGATTAGTATGTTGCTGCTTGTTATTGTGTTCAGTGATAACTACTACTAGAGTAATATAATGAGGTGGTTTCCCCTTGCCTTTCTCATCACTGTAACAACATATTTTTCTGGTTCCAACTACTGCTTTGTGAAACATAATCATAAGGTTCAGGTCTTGACTATGTTCAGTTTTGAGACCGCCAGCTGCCACTGCTCGCTTTGCTCACATTATCTGAGTATCATCCCTTAGTTTAGCCACAGTATATTGCTTTATAAATATACTGTGGTTTAGCCTTCACTGTCATCTCCAATCTTTTGCTGAATGTGAATGTTTCAAACAAAAAGTACTACTTATACCCCAAACATTACTTCTTATTCTAATGTCTTAAACATTACTATAACCTTCATTAGACGATTTTGTGCCTGGACATATTGAGCTGTGTTAGCAATTACAGCTTAATGATTTTACATGTAAAGCAATTCACAATTCCACCCGATATTTAATGCATTTTAATATGTACTCAAATAAACTCTTCAAATTTATCCAAAAATTTTGCTTATCATTGACATAGTAAAAATTGTTAAATTATTTGCAATTTAACAGTAATTCCTGCTTGTACTGCTTTCTTTAAAAATTTGCTTCCAGTACAGGCTCAAGATGAGAGGTGATAATATACATCCTTGTCGGATTCCTTCGAGAATTTATAGTTCCTTAAGTTGTTGTGGAGGTATGTGGAAGTATTTTCAAATAATTCCCCTATATTTCAAGATATTTATCATTTTTTTACTATTTTCTTATTTTATAGTATTGATTTGTTTTATATTATTTCCTGTAAAAATATTTAATTCCATGTAACAATAAAACACTGAAAACTTTGTTTTCAAACTTCCACAAAATTTATTTTAAATATTATCACTACAGCTGTTTCGGCTGATTGCCTTTCTCAAGTGATCTATTTTGGCTTGGGTTTACTTCACTTGAGAAAGGCAATCAGCCGAAACAGCTGTAGTGATAATATTTAAAATAAATTTTGTGGAAGTTTGAAAACAAAGTTTTCAGTGTTTTATTGTTACATAAAATGAATTTCCATCAAGTAACGGTCGAATCCATCAATTATTTAATTCCAATTTTATTTTTATTAATTTTAATGGAGTACTCTGTATTAATACTATATGATCAGGAAGTTAATAAAGTACTTCAAATTCGTTATATACCTATTTTAGACATGACATATGAGGTTATCATTTTTATTAAAATGTCACTCTGACAAACCAATTCTTGGAGTAGAACAACATTAGAATTAGCATTATGGAAAATTCGGTAAATTGTTGCTTTTAAATTACTAATCCCATTATTTAAATGTATTTATAAATGTTTTCATATATTCAACAAAACATTTTTAAAGGCAGGTACAAAATGCTGATTATGTTTTATATTCATTTAATATTTTATTATACATTTGAAGGTATTTAAAATAGTTTTATTAAAACTGTACGCCACATTTTTTATATAAAGTATAAATTTATTTATATGCCAGAGATATTCAGAAAGTAGCAACAAAACATCATCATCATCATTTTGGCTTTAGAATCCAATATGGTTCCTAGCCTCAATAATTTCCCTGCTGCTTTCTATCCATCGCCGTTGTCTTCCAAGCGCATATTCTTATGTTTTCCAAGTCCTCGTATATTTTCAAGGAATCTTGATCTTCTCTTATGGTCAATGAATCCATCAAGGAGATATACATACACCATTGTCATTCACCGTTCCGGAAATTCTTCTCATTATTACCTTCTCAAAGTACCTTAACATGTTTTCATTACTTTTTATTAGGGTAAAAGTATCTGAGTGGTATATTAGGACTGAAGAATATTAGCTTTGTATTTCTTGATATATATTCGACGATTCTAAAAGAGGACTGAGCCCAAAAGAATATCCCTATTTTATTACGAGTTATGCATCCATATTATTTTATTGATGTATCATCATGAGGGGAAATTAGTCCTTCAAATGCCGCGCTGGTCAAGCGTGTTGATGAGTTTTAGAGTGTGTAGTAAAAGGAAATATAGTGACCTGTCTGCTCTCGGAATCCTAATAGCCATTTGGGATCGGAAGAAACAAGAGTTAGCTAAGAGAGGCTGATAGAAAAGATTAAAGACATTTCACTCAAAACAAGTGAAAAAGAGTAAAATGTGAAATCTCTTATGATCCGCCAGGTGTGTTTCATGTGCCAAGTGTATGAGTATTGATACACTTTGAGTTCCCGCTCATACCTCGGGATGGTTCGTCCAGCATGCCATAGCATGGAAGATCTGCATTGGTTCTTCATTGTCTTGAATTTTAGTTGTTTAAAAAAATTGTTGAAAGATCCAAAAGTGAATATGTTTTAGCGGTAAGTGTCAGTGGTATTTTTTATTATTTCTGGATGTATTTGGGGTTGAGTTTAATGCACTATTATAACTTGTACACAAGTTTTTGTATGCACCTTATTCTATAAATTTTAAGTACTGTACTGTTACACGTATCCATCAGCTCTTTATGTTTCTAAAAGAGCTGCCTAGCTAGGAACTCTTTTTCTTTTGTGCAAAGTTAATAATTCTAAAGTGTCACTTCAGCTAGGTTTTATGATAAGTTATAATTTTTCAATCAAGCAAGGTATACATGTGTTACATATATACAAGGAGTGGCACAGCGCAAGTTAGAATTCTGCCTCTTTGTTTCTCATGAGAGCCAAATTTGCAAAAACTAACAACAAAATTTTATGCTTAGATGTGCTTGAATCTTTTATTTTTATAATTTTTAGATCAATAAAGATTCTTTTTGTTGGCGATGTCATCGAGACGGTGTGAATATCGATTGTGAAACCTGTCCCAGGACTTTTCACCATAAATGTCTAAAACAATCAATAACTGATGATGAGCATTGGCCATGTCCAGAGTGTGTAGGCATATTACGAGCCGAAAGTAGTCAAACAAGGTAAATATGACTCTAAAACTTAATAAAACGGGGTCACCGTATTAAATATATTTTTAGGATTAAGTCTATGAAAGGGATGCCTATATCGCATCTAAGTAGCCTTCTTGATTTTGCTTTAAAAAGGATGATACAATGTCAAGGGGTAAGTTCATATAACATTTATTTATTTTACTCTACTAATTTATTTTACCGACTGACTTTGTACAGTTTAATTTCCCTTATATATAGTGCGCCTATGCTTCGAGAAACCTCTCGATGCCGCTGGAGCGCCTACAACTTGATCGTCTATCGAACTCGTGCATACTTGAGTATTTTGTATATTAGCCGCTTATTTTCTATGAGGTGCGTTGCAAGGTTATCGTAACAATATAAAAGCTCAGATATATCGAAGTAAAATATTCATTATATTTATTATTAATTTTTTTAATTTCCTCTTACGATGCATAATCGTAGTTGTGTGTCCATTAGTAGGATCCTACCCTGACTCTAGACTTCCTCCCCATTTACCCAGGTTTAGAACCAACAACAAGCAGTAAACAATTAGAATCTACTTTGTCATTAAATATATCTCCAAGTACAGAGGATCCTATCTAAAACTTATCAATACAGCTAAAAAAATGTACGATGAGAATCGTTTGGGAAGCTCTAAAAATTTTGTAAGGGAAACTTTGTCCATAATAAACTATCTTCGAAATACAACACAACTAACACAGCTCAAACATTTTCTCTTCCAAACCCTGAAAATCTAAATGAATACTTCGTTAATGTGAGTAAAAATATACCATCAGCAATTTTGCCACAACAAGATCTTATTTCCTATCTCTCCAATTCAAAAAAGGTCTCGAATTCAGTCACAAAAGCATTGTATGTGGAGTACCACAAGGTTCAGTACTAGGTCATCTACTTTTCTTTTTTTCTGATGATACCATTGAATGAAACATTTTTCTTTTTGCTGACGACACCAGTATTACCTGGAGAAACTTTAATATTGCAACTCTTCATTAGTTTATTAATGACTTGTATATGTCTATTATCATGATTCGGTTTATTTTTCAGTCGGAACCATTTATGAATCCGGTAAGTGAGAATGAATTTCCTGAATACAAGAAATATATCATACAGCCTATGGATTTATCAGTGTTAAAGGAGAATATTGAAAATAACCTCTATGGTAGTGTCCAGGCATTTGAAGCTGATGCCAAATGGATATTGCATAACAGCATTATATTTAACTCTTGTAAGTATGCTAAAAAAATAATTGTTTCATTCTTCTCACTGCCTTTTATCAGTATATTTATTTCTAATACGTGTACTATATAGCGACAAAAAATTGTATGTCTGTGATTATTTTCAAAAAAGAATTAACCGAATTTGTCTTTCACATACAGATTGAGTTTTGAGTGAGACATTGGTCAATAAATCAGTTATGCTGCAGAATATCCAAAAAAGTTAATATAATTATCGTTACAATCAATTGTGGTTTAATCCCATATGAAAATAATATTTAATCTATATTTTAACATATGTTCCAAGGTTTCAAATATACATGACATATGTCATATAGTTAGAAAACATACATGGGATATAGCTAGAAAATTTATTAAATAAAATGGGCCATGTGGTACATACGTTGTGCCATGGCACTGTCTGGTATTCAAGGACAAAGTAACCGTCTCGAAAATCAAGCGACTCACGCAAGCCAGTCTGTTGTTAGCTCCATAGATGAACTGAGTTTTTGAGAATAGCAGTGTAGTAAAGTGAATATAAACAAGGTGTACGCACAATGGGAAATTACGAAAAAAGGCAGAAACGCATTTTACAGTCGTGGGATGAACTAATGTCGGATGAGAAAAGTGATTCTGTAATAATAGGTGATGTTTATTCGTCTGATGCTTACTCTCCTAGTTCACAAGCTTTCAGTGATTCTGAAGATGAAAGTATCGAAGTTAGTGCAGTTTTTGTCCCAAAAAACGTAAATTATGTCAAGAAGTAAATGTTACAATGGATTCCGGAGCATTTTCAAGCAAATCAAATATTTTATCTACCTCTAATGATGTTGTAGATTTACCGATTAGCTCACACACAAGGTCAGATAATATCCATTCAAATTTACAAAATGTAGACAATGTTACTGATTAATTTTCCAGTACAGAGCTGAAAGTGACCCAGAAAATAGAAATTATCATCAAGATGACATAATTGACTTAAATAACTTACAGTGGAACCCTGTTGACGTATCACCTTTCAAGAATTTTGACTTTGATGGAAAAGATACAAGAGTTAGAGCTCAAATCTATGAAGATTATATAATTGGGGATCCCTATAGTTTTTTAAGTTATTCGTTTTTGACGAAGTGATTACTCTCATGAGTAACAAAACCAATCTCTACGGCGAGCAGTGTTTGCCGAAAGAAGGACTGACACAAAAATCGCGTATCAAAAAGTGGACTTTACCTGATCATCTGGAAATTGAAAGGTTTATTGCTATCCTATTATGGATGGGCTTGTGTAAGTTGCCCACTATACGATCGTATTGGAAAAATCATTATTATATCAAAATGAAATCATCCGTATTATGTCGAGGAACCGTTTTGAGTTGAGCTAAGTAAGCGGCATTTTAGCGATAATAATAATAATGCTTTTGCAGGCGACAGACTTCGCAAAATTACTCTCCTCCTTACAGTTTAAAAAAAGTGTTAATGTCTGGTAAAAAGTGTGCTTTGACGAGACCAAGGTAGCAATTTCGTGGTCGACTACTATTTAGGCAATACATAAAAAATAAAAGGCACAAGTTCGGTATAAAACTGTACAAATGGTGTACGAAAGCAGCGTACATACCGAAAATGGCGGTCAAGCATCTTCGAATGTAGTGTTTGCTTTATGGACGATCTTCTGGATTCTGGTAGAGAACTGTATACAGATAATTATTATACAAGTGTCTCCTTGGCAACCAAATTATTAGAACAAAAGACGCATCTGGTTGGTACCCTCCGTAGCAACCGAAAATATAATCCTAAATAGGTAGTCCAAAAAAAGTGATTCCGGAATTATGGTCATGAAATCGCGTGACAAGAGGGATGTGCTTATGATCAGCACCCTTCATAGAGACAATACAAAAGAAGTATTGCAAAGAGGTGGTGCAGTAGAAAAACCCGAAACAATAATCAATTATATCGAAACTAAATCTTACATTGACCTCTCTGACCAAATAAAAACATATTCTTACTGTCTACGCAGAGAAACAAAATGGTACAGAAAGCTTGCCATCGAATTATTATTGGGGTCTGCAGTTGTAAACGCTTGGTCTACAAGGAAGTTACACAAGAATATTCATAACCGATTATAAAGAAAAACTGTGTTATTTCATTGTTACGCATTGGAACAGACGATATAGATGAGCATAAGCCCGAAGGTAACAGCGAAAATCATGCTTTGGAACAAACTAATTCATTATTGAGATGTGCTGTTTGCTACAAAAATTTTAAAAATTCTAACAAAAACTTATGTTTAAAAGTATGTTTTCCGTTTGCTTTTGTTTTAGTCTTTAGGTATTCAAACATTTTTTTTTTCGGACCATTAATATTTTTTCGGACCAAAATCACTACTTGGTTTTCCGGGCCACATATTTTCAACTTCCATATAAATACTACACAAGTACGGCACACCATGTAAGGCACGATCCCCAAAACACCGGACTGCATTTAGGTACAACATATGTGCCACGCTGGCCGAACATCAAAATTGGATGTGGCACGCGCATTATACACGTGGCATTGAACGTGTTACTAACTTAGTAGAAACAATTAATGATAGTGTAACCTTGTGCTATTCCAGTTTTTTTTTGTTAATTCGGAGGTAAATTATTTTTCTGTAACCACTATTCAAGTCTATATTTTATCATATGTTCCAATATTTTAAGTATATATGACATAAAGAGATATAGCTGAAAAATGTATTAAATATCTACAATTTTTGTTTTGAAAATGTAGATTCAAAGTAGAAAAAGCAAAAAATTTAATTTTAATTACAATTGATTTTGATTTATTCCTATATGCATATAAAATTTTCAATGTAGTACTTTAAATTTTCAGATCTTTAATAACTAAGAAGCAATTCATGATATAAAAACCTTATGCTATTCTAGACCACTAATATTTTGTGAAAAACCAATAGTTGTGTATTTCTTTTCCAGATCAATCCAAATTGACTACAGCCGCAAAGAATATGCTTAGAATTTGCAAACAGGAAATGATGGAAATAGAAAACTGTCCGAGCTGCTATTTGAAAGCGAATGTCAATCAAGATACGTGGTTCGTGGAAGTTTGTCCAATTCCTCATATTCCTGTGTGGGCAAAACTCAAAGGTTAGTGTATTTTTAAAATGATTTTATGTTGATAGCAACTCAGTTGATAGTAACTCGTTGCCATGTTATCTATTTCTGTTGTAACTTAAATATCCTAGTATATAAAATCAAATAATTTAACATTTAAATGGTTTTTACCCATATGGGCCAGTGGCTCAAAACATGTACATAGAGATAGCACTGATGATGGAATATTAATTTTAAAAAGTTCTGTGATTAAATAAATTTTTTGTGATACATGGTATACAGTCAGCTAAAACAAAGGTTTAAATGTTTATTTTTGAAATTTTATAGTCGTTTATAGATTAAAATTTACAAAAGGAAAGTTTTAAATGAATCATAAACTTTCATTATTCATAATCGCTCTTCTTTTTACAATTAAAGAAGTTTTGCGACAAGTTTAAGTTTACTTTACTTTAGATATTAATAATGAGTGGTAGAAACTTTTATGTTACATGTTTTCGACAAGGACTGTTAAAATATTCCGAAACTTGTCTCGGTAATCTCTTTATTAAATTGAGTATGTCTGCTTGATACAGAACGAAAGGTTCATTTTTCCTCTGCTTACGGCTTTTAATCTGATCCCACAGTTCGTCTTCATAGCCATGCGGAAGGAATGTGAATTTAAGTAATTCGACCAGTTGTGGCCAAGAGGTAAGTTTAGATTTAACGCTGCTAAACCATTTAGCTGCGTTACCTGAGAAAAATTCCACGGCAGATCGGAAAAGTATCGCATCGGGAATATCACGCGATTCAGCAAGATTTTGGATTTTTTCCAAGACACTTAAAGTACAGGAGTATTAACATGGACGATAGGGTTAATGGCTAGCATAGGAGCTTGTGAAGTTAAAGGTATATATGCGGGATTCGAGTCGGTAGTGATTATTTTATCGTCTAGGTTTGCTTCTAACAGAAGGCAGGTAGAGATAGCTTCGTCTTTAAAATTCGATTCTACAGGTTTCTGTCGATCGGGGGTTAGACGTTGTAGTCTCATGGAAAGATGCAATAAATGGGCCTTTGTTCTTTTGTAGACGGAATCATTAGGGTTTCCTTCGAATTCGGAAATAAGATTTTCGACTTCGGAAAAGATAGTTTCGATCTGGCTCGATTCGTCTTCGAAGATAAGGGGGTTTTCCGTTAGATCGATAATCGGAGTGGCTTTCTGATGGGCTTTCTTAAGGATAGATTTTTTTTTCGGAAAGAGTTCTATTTGACTTTATACCTCTGATTTTCAGTTCGTAATCTATCTAATTTACCTTGAGATAAGAGATAACAGAAGACTCCATTTTTAAACTCGTTTAGATAAAAAAATAGTCAAGAGAAGAGAAGATATTTATATTTGAAGACTGCGTTGCGGTGCTATTTTTTACCATTTAGCTACTACATTGGACGATATTTTCTTGCTGTTAGCTACCACGTTGGGCGCCATTTTCTTTCTGTGTACCCTCTTCGATGATAGTTGGGGGTTACACAAAGAACGGTACTAGGCTCGGGCTTCAGTCTGGTAGAGGTATCTTGGTCGGGGTTCTCATTACAGCTCAAATATCACGGATCAGTTAAAGAAGTACAGACAACACAGAGACAAGAAATTAGAAGAGAAGAGAAGTTATTTGGGCACCACCCTATTTTTAGAGGAACGGGGAAACCTTAAGGCATATTGAAGAAGATAACGAGAAAGGTAAGAATACAGTTAAAATACGCGAGAATGAAGTAAACCGTGAGAGAAAAGGTATCGTGATTATGCGGTACACAGTTAATATTTCGACACATATACAATAAATATACGGTCAAACAAATAATAGTATAAATCAATAAAAAATGCCTGGAAGAGAAACACAAAAATATAAATTCATATTATATAAAAAAATAAAAAGCAAATAGTTATATTGAGGTATAGTTGTTAATGTAAATGCACTATCACAATGTTTACTGAACAGTTAAATGGCATGATATCAGTTATTGCACAATTTATTATTAAATACAAACAAAAAATATCTTTTTGAAAAATAACTATGAATAATATAGTGTCCTCAAGAACTAGAAAAAGGCAAGGAACATTATAATTGTATCTACGTCAATATTTGTCAAACAAGTGAATTTTACGCCTTGAGAATACGTAAACATGAAGTTACTAAGTTTTTGATCGTGATCACTTCAAATCTATGAATAAAATTTATCATAAATATAACCTACATATAAAACAAGTTGTACATTAATTATACGTATATATTATCCCTAGTTATACTCATAATAGTTCGTTCTGTTAGAGTTAAAGTAAACGTCCATAAATAGGTAAGGTACACTGAACTGGAGTCATAAATCAACTTCTAACGATTTAGGTATCGCTGTTGAGCTTTAGTCAATAAAAATTATACTCACAGAACCAGTATAATACAGGTGGATGCAGATAATCGCCCTTAATAAAGGCACTTGACTTCGGTCCTTGCAACAGGTAGTCGGGACGACAGGCGCAACGATGACTTACGGTCTTCTAAACGTTATCCCTCAAATTGATTTAGGTCGATGAAAAGAGACAGCCAGACGGGAACAGTACAGGTAGTAATGAGTAGTCGAGATAAATGAAAGTATAAAAACACGTAGATATGACTGAAAGTAGAGATGAATGAATCGTAGAGGTGAATGAACGTAGCGGTGAAAGAATGAAGCGGTGGAAGAATGAACGGCAAACAAAAGTGACTTCGTTCCTTCTAATTGGAAGACGTCTGTTTGACAAAAGAGAAAATAGTTAAAATAGGACACACTGTGTAAAGATATTTTATATAGATAAGGGTGAATTGAAAATCCACTTACCGCCGTTTGATGAAGATAAACCGCTTGACACAGGAACTAACTGGAAAATGACTTCGGATTCTGAACTTCGACGGGCTTAGACAAGCGATAGGTGAAACAGAAAGGGGATATTGGCTGAAGGGTGCCACGCGAAATTGATATTAAATAGCCGGGCTACTGGGGTTCATTTTCGTAGCTTACCCTTTCTCTACCGATAGAAATTATCTTTCTCCGAAAAACAACTCTTCTGTTTTTCTGAGAAGGTAGAGTGGAGATTTCACAATAGGGCCTTTTTCCTTTGTTACTAGGAAATATTTCTATTTAGCAAGGTCGATAAGGAGAACGGGAAACATTTGTCGAAGTTATTTCTTTGTTAAAAAAGGGCGTAACCAATTGCTCGGTGTTATCGGGTTAGTTGTAAAGCTTTTTTAAAGAAGAATATGTAGGCACAGACGGCGTGAAAATAATTCTCTAAAGGGAATAATTTAAAGAAATTATGAACATGCTTCAAAATGAAAGAAATCATGAACTTAATATTTCATAAAGAAATTATGAACATGCTTCATTATGAAATTATGAAAATTTGCATATTTATGTTCAAGTGAACGTAACGTTATTATTTTTTAGGCTTTCCTTATTGGCCCGCCAAGGCGATGTCAGTCAATTCTTCCGGTTTGATAGACGTTAGATTTTTTGGTGCACATGACAGAGCTTGGGTCCATTGGAGGGAATGTTATCTTTACTCGGAGAGAGATCCAAATACTTTTAAACAGAAGAGATATGACATAGAAAAATGCGTAGAGGTAAGTATGTCATTTAATAACCCTATCAGTGACAGATGTTTGATGTGGAAAAGTTGTATCATGATGGAATCACAGCTCAAAGTTGGTTCTTGTTTAATTTAAATCATCCAGTCTTAGGATTTTTTTAAACAAACGTTTAGGCTGTTCAATCACTATTTTTTCTTCTTCTTTAAGTTCCATCTTTTATCGAAGGTTGGAAATCATCATGGCTATGCGGACTCTGTTGACTGCCGCTCTAAAAAGTTCTGCACTACTGCATTCAAACCATTCCGTTAAGTTCTTAAGCCAGGATATTCTTCGTCTTCCCACATTTCGCTTTCCTCGGATTTTGCCCTGCATAATAAGTTGTAATAATGCGTATTTTTGCCCTCCCATCACATGTCCCAAGTACTCAAGTTTTCGTCTTTTAATAGTTAATATTATTTTCGCCTCATTTCCTATCCTTCTAGTTACTTCCATGTTTGACATTCTTTGAATCAATGATATTCGTAGGATTCTTCTGTAACACCAAAATTCAAAGGCGGCCAACTTATTCAGATGAACTTGTTTTAGTGTCCAAGTTTCCAAACCATAAAGAAGAGTAGAGAACACGTAACATCGAAGAAACTTTTTAAGTTTAATAAATGATGTACGTGCTATTTCAATACGTGTCTTAATTTCTTTGGTTTGGACTACATCTGATGTTATCCATGTTCCTAAGTATTTATAGTTATTAACACTCTCAATTGCAGTATTTTTTAGGCAATCCCAATAGTTTTTCTTTTAAACAATAGTCAGCTTCTTTAAAATGTTTTGAGCATATTCTCGCGGTTTCATTAAATTTGTCTCGCTGAAAACACTTGGAGACCCATACGTTACGCATTTGTTTATCTCTAGGAGACACAAATAAACGACACTTCGAAAAAGTTTTTTTTATTATTATTTAAACCACCCACCACTGCACAATATATTATGACAAACAAATAACTAGTCTTTTTTATAAAGTAGCTACAGGTAGCCGAGAGGACTGCCAGCAAGTCGTACGATAAGCAAATTAGGTGATATTAACACAGTAAACTGAATGTTTTCACCCCAAAATTTATATAAGAATATAATATACAAAGTCTTTACTACATCAATGAACAAATATAAATCTCATTTAGTACGTTTTGAAGCACACAGGATAGCAAACTCGATTAACACAGCAACATAATTAACATAAACACAGATAGAGCATTTAACTTGGCGACATTAAAGTTGTCTCGGGCTTACGTCACAGGTGTGCGAGAGAGATGCAATAATATGCGCGTTGACTTATCTTGTTTGTTATAGTATCATGGCCATGCATCATGGTAATGCAACAACGTACCGATGCACATGCATGCGAATGTGGGGTGCGCTAAAACCAATACTGTATTTTGTCGCATACCATATAAATCATCTCTTTGATGCTTTATCATCATCATCATCCCCAGACATTTGCGTCCACTGCTGGACATAGGCCTCCCTCATTCTTGTCCATTGTGCTCTATCTTGAGCACTTTTCATCAAATTTCTTAACACTTTCTTGAAATCGTCAGTCCAACGAGTAGGGAGTCTTCTTCTACTTCTTTTGTCTAACCTCGCCTCCACTCAAGCAATCTCTTCGTTCACCTTTCATCACTGATTCGGGCGACGTGTCCGGCCCAGTTCCGTTTTAGTGTGGCAATTCAGAACAATTCATCACACATTGGTCAAACGTTTGTTTTAAAGAAATTGGTATATCGCTTTTAAAGATGTCCTTGAACTTTCCATAGGCTGCCCATGCTAGGTTTATTCTTCTTCGTAATTCGCATGTTTGGTTGTCTCTTGTGATATTTATTTCGTGTCAGGGTATAGGTATTTTCCACCAGCTCTTCATGAATTTTGTTTTGGAAATGTTTATTTTAAGATCTACACTGGCACACACTAACTGTATATTATTTGTCTCTGATCATATATTTGTATGGTTACAGGAACTAGTTGTATACGTAGAGAATTTAAAGAAAATCTACGGCGATTTCCGTTACGCTCCATTCAGAACACCCGTAGATCCGTCAAACCTAACGAGGCAATTGCAAGTATTCCTGCCCAAATATAAATCCATGACTGGTCGGCGAACGACTACATTAAAAGAACCCATGGAGGTTAAAATAGAGCAATCACAGGAAGCTCAATCAGAAAATTCCACAACAGAAGACAACTCCACCAAAGAAGCCAACTCCACAAAAGAAGACAACTCCATCAAAGGAGAAGGTATGGATATCACGACTGAAGGTTATGATTCCGACAACGAAAAGCCGACGCAAATAAACTTGGAATCCAAGGAAAGTAAAACTAAGCCAAGCACAGCGAGTGAATCAATCGAAGATGAAGATGATATTGATGATACACAAGTACCTTCCAATGTTTCGATAGAATGTTCTACACCTAAAGGATATACAAGAAGTAGAAGAAAAGGTTCCTATACAAGTAAGAATTATTTTTATTTTATTTTTGTCCTATGTGAAAGAATTGTATTCTTCTGTATTCTATAATAGGCAGATGTCCGGTTTACTTTGTGTATTTAGCCGTGCTTCTGAAAAATAAAAAGCCAACGACAAATTGATTATTGGACAATCATGTTCTTTGGAGGAGATTATCTCTCTTTCGGGGGATCTTGGAACCATAAGTCCCTGAACTTTAGAACCTCAGTTTGCCACCTTATTGGGAACTCCCTTATTGGGGGTTGGAGAGTTTTCAAACACTCGTTCTAAAGTTTGGATGTAGAAATATTTTATTTCGAGTAGGGACTTATGATTCCCGGTCTAACACCGGTAGAACATAACTTATACAAAAATTATTACGCCTACCTGACGGCCGGGAAAGCACTAATCATTCGTTTGACGGTCAGAAATAGAATACACGCGAACCAAGCATGTTCCTGTCAAAATAAAACTAACGTCAACTAGTACGATTAAATCCGACCAATAGAAAAGGAGTTCTAGAAGTAAGTTGTAAGGACTATTTTGCTTAACTCAGGGTAAGAACATGGGGTAGAAGATTGGGCAAACAAAATAAATCGAAACAAGTGCGTACGGCACTCAGTTGGTTGTTGGAGAGCTGGGTCGTGGATAAGTTGAAGATATGGGGGTTGGATTGGGGCAACTACAAAAACAGAAATAAAAGGGTACTTATACAAATCTCTTCGGACAAACAAAATGAAAATAAACCGGAAACACCTCAAGGAATTTAATATAGGGCGCCACTTGAGGTGCCTAATTATACCTACTACAACCACTAGTTGTAATTAGGGAAATAAAACATCAAAAATATATCTTTTTAAAATATCCCCAGTGGCCGTGGTGGACATGCGTTATGCACCAAACCACTGAATAAATCAACGTCTGTTTTGCTTTGCAATTTTTAGAAAGCACAGATTAAAGCAGAAATCTGAATTGTGTTTCGAAACTATTTTACGGTTTTATTATCAGATGTCGCTATTGCGTCCATATCGAAGCCATTTTAGTGTTGCTTCTTAAAAGACAGAAAATATTGATCTTTCACGTTGAGAACACCTTTGAATAACTGTTCAGATGAGACCTATTAGGTCGAAATACGTATCAACAGATACAAAGGCGCTGTTTGCGTGAAATCAAATATTTGCTGTCTTTTTCATTCAAAATATTTATTAGTTTTGGTCATGGTAGATACCCGTTATCCATAAAAAAAAATTAATATTATCAAGGAGACATATTTTTTCCAACAAAGGTTGCTTATACATGTTCATAGACATTATAAAAAACAATATTTACAAAAAAAATGTTGGCTCGGGGGACAGATTTTTTTATACATGGTGGCACTATATGTATTAAGACTCGATCCAGGCTGTATTAGAAGTTATTTGAGTAACTTAATTCCCAAATGACTGCTTCAAACAAAAATAAAGTCGATTACAAAATAATTAGAGTCCTATGCCGCTTATTTTGAGCGGTTTGGTTACGCTTCAGAACTTTTGAAAATACTTCGAATAGGCCACATACAGAAAAATGATATTTAACTTTAGATAATTTTCTTTATTAATTCTATTACACTCTTGACACATAATTCTCCGGAATATGTTACAAAACTAACCAAAAGGGCTCAAACGTGTCCTATTTTTTTAACTTTGTCTTTTAAAGAGAGTAGAAAGTTGTAAAAAGTAAGGTTATGTCATATTTGTGTTTGAACGTAGACATATAATAACTAGACAGGGCGCTAACGTGGTCGATAAATCCTTCCATTGGAAACCATTAGAAATGCAAGGACTGTTGGTATCTTTTTTTCTCTATCGTACTGGGGGAACGGGTTTTATATTGCAGCACCCTGTCTAGGTATTATATCTCTATGTTCTTTAATTCTGGTGTGGGTGGTGACTAACCTACAAATCGACGAAAGTTTTATTTGACAGCCTACTTAATTTCTTAAAAAAACTTAAGGTTTTTTTTTATTACAAGTTCAATACTACAAGTCAAGAACTGTTAAATTAGGTCAATAATTTGTACATCACAAAAATCGATGTGACCACTGTATTAATTGACGTGATAGTTTTTGGGCGTTGCTATTTTTCTTGGCCTGCGCACAAGTCATATTCAATATCTTTTATAAATCGTTTTGATTCATGAATCGATTTGGAAAAAATTATTTTATTTATTTTTTTTTTTTTTTTTTTTTAGTTGACACAAAAGGAAGTTCATGTAAATCATGCGACAATCATTCTCCTACCGAAGAATCTTCAACGCCAAAGAGATTAAACAAAAAATACAGTGTTCACAGTGCAAAAATCGACTCAAATCAATTATCGAATAAATCAGATAAAATCCATCGATTGGCTTGTTCAGATGTTACAGAAATTAGTTTAGAAGCGTCAGATAACATCCACATTGCGAACGGTGAAAACGTTGATATCAAGAAGAAACCGGTACAAGTTGATATCAACAATAAAGAGATTTCTATATCTCCGATTAAATTAAAAATGGTTTCAATAATGAACGTACCCGAAAAAACTACAGAAACTATTTGTACCACGGAAGAAAAAGAAACTGTAATCGCTAGTAATGAAACTAATAATAAAACAAATAAAGAACACGACAGTGATATGCCAGAAAGTAGTGCCAAAAGTGAGCCAAAAGCAAAAGTGATTCAACCTGCAATTACAGAATTTTTGATAAATAGAATTTCAAAAGTCGATGCTGGCAAAGAAAAGCCTGCACATGAGACAAATACTGTACATAAAGAGCAGTTAGTTGGTGGTGCAGGTGGAGCGCATAACGGGTTAGATGCGATGGACGTAGATTCATTGGAAGAGATAACAGGAGAAAAAACGGTGCCGGTAAATGCAAATATAGAACGGAGCAAACCCACAGCAAAAGAGAGCAACATTGCAGTTTCTAAAAACGTAGAAACATGTGAAGTTAAAGATGAAGGAGTTGAGATATCAGAAAAAACTGAAAAGCTCCCTATAGAAAATAAAAAGGAAACTCTCTGTGTTAGAACTGTCAATACTTCAAACAGGCCCATGGTTGACGTACAAAACAAAAATAAAGAGGTAGGAACGTTACCAGAAAGCAATCGTCAGCCGGAACAGCCTGTCAAAACTGTGGAAAAAGTTAAACCTGTCGTAGAGTCTAAAGCACCTACTGATGTACCAGAAAAAACAGCTGTCACTTCAGAACAAACCACTAAAATTGTTGATGATACTTCACCATCATTGACAGATAACGAAGTTATGGAAGAAACCAATGCCGAGGACCTGTTATCGGATCCAAAGAAAATCTTCGATGTTATACATTCGTCTCTTAGCTCAATAAAAGATGTGAAAATCAACATAGAAAATAAAAACGATACACATGAACAAAAAGTCTCTTCAGATGAACCAAACAAAGATAAAGAAGTTTCTAAGAAGAGAAAATTGGTTGGCGACGAGGTGTCTTACAATCCAGCCAAAGTAGTCAAATTAGTTCCTATAGAAAGTATTATGAATAAAAAAAGTCACGATCAAGCCTCTCCTGAGAAAAACTCCAATGATATACGGCCAAGTTCAGACTCGGATACGACGAATCCACTTGAAATGGTCGTAGAGGATATCAAAAGTGAACCAGAAAGTGAGGAAGAGTTTTCTGAAGCGAATCAAAATCTGGAAGAAAAGATGAAATATCTGTCCGCCTTGAACATACACGAAAAGACTGTGGAGAGGCAAAAGCAGGAGAAGAATGAAATTAGGACCAGGTCTAAAGCTGAGGAAAAAAGAGAAAGGTATGTTATATATTTTGTATATCTATTCAATGTAACTGCAAAACCTAGACCTCCTTCTCTTGTTTCCAATACCATCTGCTGCTCTCGTCCACTTTTTATTGGTCGTCGTCTGGAACGTGGTTTATCTTCACGTGATCTCCATTCCAATTATTTCTTTGCCCATCGATCATCTGTCATTCTGGCTAGGTGTCCTGCCGACTCTATTTCAATCTGGCTATCCTTTCAGTGATGTCAGTACTTTTTCTTATATCCTCATTTTTTTTCTCGCACAGTTATTCCCTTCATGGTGCATGGGTACTTCTGGCTATATGGTTGTTTACGTAGATGGCTTCGAGCATATTTGTGTCTACTATGAGTGGACCTCCAAAGCACCATTTTGTGGGAACGTAGTTGATGATAGATTTGGATTTACCTGTCGTTCGTTTGTCGTTTTTCTTGATGCGGTCCTGTACGTCAATGTCGGTGTCTACGTCTAGATGTCCATAGTTGTCCTTTATGTTCTCCACTAAGCAAGTGGTGATGCAGGAAGAGTGAGTATGAAGTAATTAATGGTATTGTGCATCTGGTATTAGAGGAATCGAGTAGGAGCTGTGTGGTTGATGGTTGTTTGAGGTAATATCTGCATAGGATTTTTTCAGACGCTGGTAATCGATGTGAAAGAGGACTACTTGCCTTTTTAATAGCGGAACCTCGCACCAGGGCTTTTCCATTGGACGGAGTGTTGATTGCTTAATTAATTAGCACCAAGCGTTGACACTTTGTACACCTTCAGTGCTCTTACAATACAGTTCAAGTCCCGAAAGAATTCGGGACCTGAATGGTCCATGCTACGCGTGGATATTTTTGTGGTATGATGCGCTGCATGCGCTGTTCAATTCAGAGTGTTACGCCCTCTATCGAGCCAGTAGCTACTCGTACAATATACCTTTGTTCCAACAGTTTTGTAACCGAACTGACGTGTGTATCGCTTCGTCGAGCTGCTAACTATTTTGTAGGGCATGGCTACTCGCCTGCTGGCTGTTTTTTTTTTGTATAACACCTTGTACGGTGTTTGTATAGGTCTGGTCACAAATGAACAATTATCAGTTATTTTCTGACCTTAATAAACACTTAAATCTAAGGGCTTAACCTATGGCTTACTCTTATTTTATCTATCAACTACTGCACTACAACTAACATGCAATAACATCACAGCACTATTCTTCTTCTTCAAGTGCTGTCTCCATCAATGGAGGTTAGCGGTTATGGTGGCAAACGTTTGTCTATCTTCAGCTGCTCTTAAGAGTTCCTCAAATCCAAGTCCTGTCCAGTTGCTGATATTGCGTAACCAGGACAATTTTTTTCTTCCAATTCCTCGCTTTCCTTCTATTTTGCCTTTTATTATCAACTGAGGGATGTAGTATTTCTCGTTGCGCAACAAATGCCCTAAATAACTGGTTTTTCTTCTTTTGACTGTTCTCAATAGATCTTTTTCTAAATTGAGTCTAGCTAGTACTTCTTCATTTGTTTTTCGTGCTGTCCAAGGAATTTTTAAAATTCTACGGTACACCCACATTTCAAATGCCTCGATTCTATTCAGGCTCTTTATTTTTAAAGTCCACGTTTCGACTCCGTAGAGAAGAACAGACCAGATAAAACATTTTACAAGTTTTAATCACAGCACTATACTCTGCTTTTTATACTAAACTGTTACACATTTACACTAAGTCAAATGGTTTTGTCCTTATGAGTCTTCTCTTTAATTTAGTGTTGTCAAAAAGCTGGATTGCCTCGATATTCACATGACTATGCAGTCTCTATTCGTGACTTGCTGCTGTTCTCTTGATTACTTCGGTCACAGTTTCTATACCCAGGTCCTGGTGGAGGTTGCTGTTTCGGATATTCCAAGGTGCATCAACAATGTTTCTCGGTACTTTGTTTTGAAATCTCGGAATAATATGTAGATTACTAGCTTTGGTACAGCCCCAGAGTTACAGCCTTTGGTACAGCTTTAGTTCATATTCATCACACGTTGTGGTAATCCTATTAATCAGCTGTTGAAGTTCTTCGTCACTACTTGCGATTAACACCGTGTCATTCACGTACCTCAGATTATCAATATTGATGCCACATTGAACATTTCTTCTTCTTATTGTGCTGTCTTCTAGCGAAGGTTGTCGATCGCTTCTCGAAACGCTTCCCTATCTTTTACAAAGTAAAATATCTGTTGCAACACTGAGGATAGTCCAATCTCTGATATTCCCCAACCAAGATTTTTTTTTCCTCCTAAGCCTTTTCTTCACTCTGCCCTTCCTTGCATGATGATCTGTAGAACTCTATCCAATGCTTTATTGAAAACCAACTCCTAATAGATGTTAAATATTAATGGGCACAAAATGCAGCCCTGTCTTACACCTCTTCGTATTTGAAGCTCTTCAGAATTATCCTAGCCAATCCTGATGTTTGCACGTTGACGTAAGCGAAGATTTTTAATGATACGTAGGTCTGTATAGTCGATAGCTACTGAAGAATGGCTGTCATTTCAGTATGTTTTACTCAATCAAAGGCCTTCTTAAAGTCAATAAAACACATATAAACTGGTCACTGATTATACACTGTTCTTTTTAGACATATGAATTGATCACTTTCGAAAGAATCGCATAGACTTCAACTTCAGTCACCTCTTTAACTTCACACTTCCCACTTCAGTCGCGTCAGGCTGTCTCAACCATTGCACTATCTATAATTGCCTCATCATGTTCACTGCTTTTTAATCTAGCTCGATCTATCGATCACTCTTTAACACCTTATACTAAAATTCACTTATTTTAATAAACATATTTATGTGTTTAACTGTGAACTGTTCAATATCTTTTCGAAAATTGTATATCCAACATCTAGCAATGAAATCCCTCTATAATTGGAGCAATCCAGAGGATCGTTTTTCTTGTGAAGGAAACATTTTTTGCAGTAGTCTATTTTTCTGTCATTTCGCCTTAATCCAGATATTTGACCTCCCGCTTTCCACATATTAGCTGGGATTCCTCCGGGCCTGGAATACCTTATCTAAATTGGGTGGTTAGATTTTTTCTATATCAGCATGGTTAGCTCATCTTACTCACCTGCCATATCATTTCCTTTAAAATCCTTTTTTTCATTAAAACATTTTTCCAAATATTGTGTCTACCTTTCCACTACTCATTTCTCTTTGAACTATATTGTTTATAAGAAAACAAAGTATTATATTATTTATGTATTTTAGGTTTAAAGTCGTGGATAACTTAACTCGAATAATTGATGACGTAGCACTAAACTACAGCGCAAAACATGGTGGCGATAAATCAGCACCGAAGAAACCAGAACGAAGAAAAAGTAGTAGTAGTAGTTTTCCCACAGAAGGAGAAATATCGGTTAAGTCATTTGCCAGACTACCCAGTACTTCCCCCTCTATCAAACAGAGAGCCAGAAAAACGTTTCCTATTCCCATGTATATTTCGCCTAATTCCAAAAACTCTCTCTTAAAAAAAGACTTTGCTGTATTAAGAAGAGAACCCAACAGACAATTAAATGCAGGCCAGGATATGTCTACAAGTCAGATCGTTGTTACTGATAATTCTAAAGTTACTACTCTACCAACGTCCACCAAAACTACTGTTGCTGTGACTTCGGTTGCGTCAGTTACCACATCTTCCATCAGTTTGATTTCGCAAGCTTCTATTGTCGCCCAAACCTCGCCTTCGGTGAATCTATTAACCGCGCCTCCCTTGAATGTAATACCATCTCCAGCAGTTAACATACTACAGACACAGAACGGAGGAGAACTGACCACAAATATTACATCTCAAGCTTTGACCATGGGACATGTGTTTTTGATGCCTAGCGGCGGAATGAACTACTGCACTCCAATTATCAGCACGGTAAGTTGCAATACAAAATTAATTGACAAAAATGTCAACCTTTAACCAGTTAATGATAAAATTAACCTACTCTAATGTATTTACAGGTAGCACAACCGGCTCCATCTTTGGTACCTACTCCTAATGTATCACAATCTCTCAAAAAGAGTATTACTACACCAAATTTGAAGACGTCTCAAAACTATATTCCACCTGATGATATCGAAATTATTGATTGCGATCCTCCCATGCACGTTGTTATGCCAAATCCAGTAAGTAATCGTACAGCCAATCCATCTACTTCGGTCCCTAAACCGATAACTCCACCTTCGGTGCCAACAACGACGCCCACAAACACCGAAACGGTACCCACGGCAACAGTTGCAGGACCTTCAACATCAGCTTCTACGTCGGCTAGGACACCTGTTTCACAAAAAGACGACGAACTGTCAATTCTTCATGGACTGTTGCCTGAGAACATGAGTCGAGTGGTGAACCAGCTCCTATTAAAACCACCTCCACGGTTAAAACCCAGACCTCCCGGAGTTCTCAGCAGAATATACGATGAAGGCGTTCCTAGCTCAGCAGGAGATGTTACCTCTAGAATTAATTCTATAGCTCACAGGGTAAGTTATTAAGTTCCTTTGAATGTATTATATAGTAAATAAAATTGTATGTAGTAAAAAAACTAAGACGTCCAAACAACACAATATTATGAATAAGACCTTTTAGTGTTGAGGTAATAACGACCCAAATTACTGCAACTCTTAACGATATGATTACAGCTAGCACTTAGTTTAACCTTTCAAAGCCCGAATTATTTTTTTGTTAAACTGGTGGTTTTTTACCAAGCTTAATTTAGGAAAAATACAATTAAGCTGAAAAACCTAATAAATTTTATTTGTTTATCGAATATAAATTTACAAACTGTGACCATATGGTAACACTAGGTTAAAATACTATAAAAATATTATAAGATTTACTCTTTATGAAATATTGCATTCAACAAAGCATTCAATGCAGAGTCCAATATCGCATTAGATAGACTATTGTTGGTCTACCGGGTCTAATGGGAAGGTTTTTGAATTTGGTAAGGTAAGTAGTCGCGATTTCACGTCGAAAATTCAAATTAGTTGTCGGTCTTCCTGAACACTTATATAGTATCCATGAATTTTGCATTACAGCATCAATTAACCATGTAAGTAAAGACCAATACCATTTCTTACTACGAATACTTATACGGTATCTTGTTAAATCCTCATCCATTCTATCAGTGCCGCCCACTTGTTATACGTTCCAACAACATGTGAGCGAGAAATTGGACAACTTTATTTTCATAATGTGAATAACGTTTTACGTGTTGAATAGGAACATATGAAGTTGATGTCATTGTTACGACGGCGTTATCCATATGTCTTGTCAACATAATACCATCTTCCTTGTCAATTTTTGGAACCAAGTAACCTCGAGTTTGTTGGTAAAAATCGATCGAATTGGTACTTTCCCCTTCACAGATCTCAAAATTTACAAGGTAACTAGTTTCGGAGTTAAGGCATCATACTTTATAACCGAATCCTATCAGTTTTCCCCTAATGAATTGTTACAATTATGGCGACCATAATATTTCATCATCGACTTATCATAATTCATATTTTCAGTTGGTTGATAATATTTGAGAAAAGAACTCTGTAATTTTTTGATTACTGGTCTCAATTTCCACATTTTATCATTTAAAGCCATTTACGTATTATCAGCACAGCGCATGAAATAAAACCTTTTTTGAGGAAGACAATTGTATCCAGACACTATCAAAATACCCAAAAAACCTTTGAGCTCGTCCAAGGTAATCTTCGGATGAGGACAATTCACAAGAAGGGCGTATTTTCTGGTTTTCTCTAAAATATGGCCTACCATTTCGTTAATGAAAAACAACTCAAATTTATAGGGCTCATATTTTTAAATTGTGAGTAGTCTGCTTTGGGAAAGTCGGATGATTTTACAAAATCTCAATCGATCCAAGTTCTTTTAGTCTACTTTTTTCGCTTTAGTGATTTCAAAAAACTATTATTAGGTTCTGTATCAAGTGATGACATACGTGGTATTTGCTTGTCTTCCATCTCGTTAAAAACACTATTGTATTCTGGTGCACCATCAATCATCTTCATCAGTCAAAACATTTGGATGAGTTGGACTTATATATATGCCGGTTAGATCATTAGATTAGATTAGATTATGTGAGGTCGTTAAGGCCGTGCGGCCTCACCGCACTTCGACCTATACAGATCTTTTGTGCATACCTTAATCTAGTTAAACTCTAGAATGCCAATACTTCTGATGAAGTTGATTAGCTTCCTAGGTGACTTGTTTCCTATGTCAGAGCACGCCAGACTTACCTCTCCTAGGAATTTTAGTCGTTTGCAGAACAGTGCTACGCAGTTGCATAGTATATGTTCTGCCGTTTCTTTTTCATTGTGACAGAAACGACAGTTCTCACTATCTGATTTGCCCATCTTCTTGAGATGATATCTCAGAGGGCAGTGACCAGTGAGAAGGCCAGTGACCATTTTAATATCTTTCTTACTCATTTCGAGAAGGCGGTTTGTTGCAGTAGGCGACACTTTTATGAGCCTTTTTGCTTGCCTTTGTCCTGGTGTGTTAGACCAATATGATCTTAGTTGATTGAGTTCCCAGGTACGGAGTTCCTCTCTGATGTGGCTTTTCGATAGTCCACAGAAGGGTTCCGGACCCTGGAATGCGGTATTAGCTCCTTCTTTTGCGAGGCTGTCAGCTTCCTCATTTCCTGCAATTCCCTTGTGACCTGGCACCCACATCACAGTTACATTGTTGCGTTCCGCCAGCTTCTTGAGAGATTGTTTACAGTCCCAAACCAACTTTGACTCACATGTAAATGACTTTAGAGCCTTTAAGGCGGCTTGGCTGTCTGATAAAATAAAGACTTTTGCCCTACGAGTGTCTCGGTTGAACATTCTTGGGCACTTATGTCTATGGTATGTATTTCTGCCTGGAAGATAGTTGGGGCGTTTCCAAGAGATTTAGATAGCCTGAAATTGGGCCCAGTAACTCCCACTCCTGCCCTTTCATCTATCTTAGATCCATCCGTATACCATACGAGTGAACCCTCTTCCACTTTTGGCTCAATTTCTTCACCCATTTGGTGGTTTTTTATGACCACTTCAAAGGGTGTTTCAAAGTCGAATTTGACTGGCATAGCATCTCTGGCATAGCAAAGTCGGTTAGATCATTGTCATCGTTATAAACCATATTCAGGGCTTCCTGGAGCGTCAAACCTCTCCTGTAAATAAAAAGTTAATTAGATCTCTTATTAGACTAGTATACCATTTGGTAACAGTGTGACTCAGTCTCATGTAAATTTTATGTTAACGGGTGAGGTTGCCTGTAATATTTTTTATGTTATAACCTACTTCCTTAACTATATCAATAATTATTTAAATTGCCAGAAAGTCTTAATAGTAAACTAATAAAACTACTTACTCAAATCTAGATTCCATAATTTGCACATTTGTTAATACACATGCATTCACAAAGCTATATTATTCTTTCCTTCCAGACTGTTGAATGTAATACGGTAACAAATTGAATACGCTGACATCTAGTAACAAAAAGTTGAACTGTGGATAGATTTCTAGCTTGTGGTCTCACAAGGCGTTAATGGGTTAAATTACCTATTCGAAGATTGCATGCATGGACTTTACATGGACAAGACATCATAATTCAAGTTATTAAATTTGCTTATTCCTGAGAGCGATTATTTTAACAACTGTATTTGTCCAAAAAGTAACTCTAGAGGTATTCAGCCATAGAAATTCATTCTTGGGTGGTTCAATTTTAAGATATATTAGAGAAAATTCAACATTTTACCATTTAAAAAACTGCTGACTTTGTAGCTTCTAAACATTTATAATAACTGATATTTTTTGTCACGCGGTTGTAAGTAGGTTCATTAAAAAGACGGTCAAAAAACACAGTTTTTTTTTTAAAGAAGTTTCTATGACCAAAAGGAAATAAGATGACCTTTTTTTATTAAATCATATTTCCATTCTGTATTAACATTAAGAGCTGAAAATTGAACAGATTATAAGTGAAGATCTAGATTTGATGATCCTATTTATAGATGACATATACAGAGCAGGTGTAAAAAATTATAACCTGTTAAAGTGATCGTTAAGATAGAGACTTGTCTAGTTGAGAGATTGTCCCTGTTTAGGTTCAAACAGAAGGCATCAGATAATTAATTAATTTCATTGTCATCATATTTTACTAGTATTTTTATTGTAGATGACCGACTACTTCAGGGGAATGTTAATAGAAACACTCGAAGACTTTGGAAAAGCCGCGCATCCGGAAGCAAAAATTACCAGTTTGCAATTAGAAATGGAAGCCCTAAAGCATCGGCATGAATTGGAAATGACGGAAGTGAGAAACGCCATGACGAGTATTCTTCAAAACGTTCAAAAAAGAGTCATGGAAGAAAGGACGATCATTATAGATAAAACGAAGGCTGAGTGCGAAGCAGAAGCCATACGTAGGGTGGAAGCGGCCAAACTGAAGCAATGGTAAGTACTATATACTCAGTCCGTTAGTTCTTTGTAATAATTAAGGAATACCTAAGTCTTCGTGAACGTTTTTGAAACATATTTAAACCATCATAATCGGAATTAAAATTGAATTTTGAGGTTAGAATATTGTGTATCGATTTTAGCTTATAAATGTTTACTTACTTATTATTTTAGGTGTGCAAATTGTCCGAAAGAAGCCCAATTTTACTGTTGTTGGAACACCAGTTATTGCGACTACCCCTGCCAGCAGAAACACTGGCCCCAGCACGCCCCCAAATGTACACAAGACGTAGAAAAGACGTCGGGAACAGCACCAGGTCCGCCGAATAGGCCGTCGGCTCCTCTTATATTACGACCTGCATTGCCGCCGAAACAGGGAATGGGGGTGAGTTTTTTTTGTAGGCTACGTTGTGGGTCCGGTTTGGAACGTTCAAGTTCGTAGTTGCAAATTTGGTAGTTGAAATTCCGTAGAAGTAGTTATAAGTATAATGTAAGGATGTTTCTAGTAAATCTTTTTAAACCCATGATTAGCCGTTTAAATTTATCTCTACAACGTAGCTGCAATAAATAGTCAAGAATTATAAGAAATTACTAAACTGGATAAAATAAAAAGTTGTTAAAAAGTTAGACAACAAAAAATGTCATGTTTTACTCGTTTTTACACAGCGGGTCCAAAATCAATCTCCCCTCCAATTTCTGAACCGAAGTAAAGCACATCTACATTGTTTTTTATGTTAGTGACATAAATAATGATTCAATATTCCAAACCGCCATTTTGTAAAGTAATTTTAAATGTGATCACGCGACAAGTAATATCTTGGAAAACTCGTGAGTCACACAGTATGTTTATAGAATTTTGAGCCATTCTGTTGCGTCTCAAAAGGCGACAGTTCCACATTCGTGGCGACTGCAATCGTATGTAGCATATGCAAGATATTGTTAATGTAGAAAAATGTCAAATATGTCACATTTTTGGCAGGTAACTGTAGAAAATCAAATGAACTATCTCAGGATGTGGGAAATTAAAAAAAAATTAATGTATCTGTTCAAACGTTTTAATAAAAACTGAATAGACTATTTTACGTCTTCACCCATTTATAATGGGTGAAGAAGTAAAATATACAGGGTGAGTCACGCTCAACGGGACGGAGCCTACCGGGGAAATGGCTAAAGATATTAAAAATTCCTTTTGTAGGAATACGTAGGTCAGTACCGGCTACAAATTAAAATTTGTGAGATATATACAGGGTGTCCCAATTTGGCGTAATGATATAAACTTATACTTTTTTAAATGGAATAACCTATATTTCACTTTAATTTTGAATTCTACTGAATAAAATAATGTTACTTTATTCAACATTCCCTATACCTATTTTTGACCGGTTTCGATTTATTTGGGTTTTTCTGAAAATGTACTATTCGCGAAATTAATTACTTACACAATATCGCATCAATTATAATTAACGCCTTTTTGTCAATTAATTTTCAAGTGTCCATGCTTTACATCAGAATAATTACCAATTGAAATTAATCTACAGAGTGTTCGCAATACGAAGTGTCAATGCTGTATAATAGTTTGTGTAATTACTTTCTTAACTTAAATGGGACACCCTGTATTTTACTTTAATTTTGAATTCTAATCAAAAAAATAATATTACTTTATTAAACAATCCCTGTACCTATCCTTTATAATTTTCGATTAATTTGGGTTTTTTTGAAAATGCACTCTTCTTGAAATTAATTAATTACACTTTATTACATAAAGTTAAACAAAACACACTAGAAAAAAATTAATTTACATTAAATGTTCAAAATGGTGTCCATTTTCTTCAATACATAACCTCACTCTGTGTTCAAAATTTTGTTTTACTCTTCTTAGCAGTTCTGGAGTAACTGTTGCAAACGCATTACGAATACGCGTTTTCATGTCTTCAGCGGTTGTAGGTGGAGTTTGATAAACCAAACTTTTAATATATCCCAAAAAAAAAAAGTCCATTGATGTTAACCCAGGTGATCTAGGGGGCCAATTGACAGCACCACCCCTACCTATCCACTTTCCGGGAAATTTTCTGTCTAAATATTCTCTAACGTTACGCGTGTAATGTGCTGGAGCACCGTCTAGCTGCAGAAACATTGTTCTTCTAATATTTAAAGGGATATTTTGCAAAAGTATCTAAAAGTCTCTTCGTAGAAATCTTAAAAACTTTTGTCCATTTAAATGGCCATTAAAAAAATACGGTCCTATCATATGTTCTCCTATTATTCCACCATATACATTAAGGGACCATCGGTTTTGTCGATCAGTACATCTATATTCATGTTGATTTTCCGTATTATAATAGTGAAAGTTATGTCGGTTCACGAGTCCATTATTATGGAAAGTAGATTCATCAGTGAACAAAATTTTATCAAAAAAATGTTGATCTGCTCCCGTTTTGTCTAGAAACCATAAACAAAATTCTAACCTACGTTCAAAATCAGTTCCATACAAATGCTGATGCGTTTGAATATGGTATGGGTGATATTGATATTTTTTAAGAATTCTGCATATACTAGTTTGGCTTACTTCAATCACCCTGGCCATCGTCCTTGTACTTGTATTTGGATTTTCAATAACTGATTGAGTAACTTCTAATTCGGTATTTTCATCTTCAGTTATCGGATTTATTAATTTTCGTTTAGTATAAACAACACAGCCAGTTTCACGAAACCTTGTTTCTGACTCTGTCAAATACTTCTTTACGAGGATGACGTTTTAAGGGAAATCTCTCAGCATAGACTCTTGATGCTAACAAACTGTTTTGATCACATTCACCCAGTATTAAAATCATATTTACTCGGTCTTCAATTGAATAATCTGCCATTTCTATTTAATTGAAAGCAATACAGTTAATAGTTTGGCAGTTAGTTTGACAGCTAGGTACCTTTTGTTTTTTCATGGCATTCTTTATAATAACGAGCTATGTAATTAATGACGTTTAATGTTCCAGGTAACATAATGCAAATAGATTTGAAGATACTAGATATTAATATAAAATTTTATAATAGTTTGATTATAATAATTGTTACAACATTCAAATACAGGGTTTTTGTTTAAGTTAGAGTAGAACTTTATGTAATAAAGTGATAAAAATTAATTAATTTCAAGAATACATAGTGCATTTACAAAAAAACGCAAATAAATCGAAAATTCTCAAAGATAGGTATAGGGATTGTTTAATAAAGTAATATTATTTTTTTAATTAGAATTCAAAATTAAAATAAAATACAGGGTGTCCCATTTAAGTTAAGAAAGTAATTATACAAAATATGGTACAGCATTGACACTTCAGATTGCGAACACTCTGTAGATTAGTTTCAAATGGTAATAATTCTGATGTAAAGCATGCACACTTGACAATTAACTGACAAAAAGGCGTTAATGAAAATTCATGCGATATTGTGTAATTAATTAATTTCGCGAATAGTACATTTTCAGAAAAACCCAAATAAATCGAAACCGGTCAAAAATAGGTATAGGGAATGTTGAATAAAGTAACATTATTTTGTTCAGTAGAATTCAAAATTAAAGTGAAATATATGTTGTTCCATATAAAAAAGTATAAGTTTATATCATTACGCCAAATTGGGACACCCTGTATATATCTCACAAATTTTAATTTGTAGCCGGTACTAACCTACGTATTCCTGCAAAAGAAATTTTTACTATCTTTAGCCGTTTCCCCGGTAGGCTCCGTCCCGTTGAGCGTGACTCACCCTGTATAGTACTGTCTATAATAAATTTGAAGGCAGTAGATTCTCAAAAATGTGAATACAATCAAGCGACGACCTTGTGATGATAGATATTCTAACAATTTATATTTTAATCATTCACATGCAGCAAAATTATCATAGATTTATGATAGTTTTGTATTCGTCAAGGTATCTAATAAAATATATTTAATAACATTAATATGTTTGTATATTATATTTATATACAATATTTATATATAGAAAACATCTAAAAGTACGGTAATATTATATTTAAAAGTCATACATGACAACGTCGTGGTTCTTAGAACCAGTAGAAAGGAATAGTAGATCAACGTTGTCATAAGATAGAGAAAATTGCTCATTGATTTCGTAGTTTGGTATTCAGTAGCGTATGGTTCACACTGTTGCATTACATTTTAAAAATTAATCTGAATATATTATATATGAAATAAGACTTATTTAACTTAAAGAGCAAAGTATATTGGAGTTAAAGAAAATTTTAGTTTGAAAAATATGTTAACAAAATAAACGTATATACGAAAGTAATCTTGATAAAGTAATTCGACCTCCACGGGAAGTCAAAATATTAATCATCGTATGAAAACAACTCTTGAGAAGATGTAGCGCTATCGCGATCACTACTATTTACATTTATAATTTTAATGATTCAACCAAAATATCCACTCTTGTGTCTAAATTCCACAATTAAATCTTTTTCTTGTATAGTGTGTCTTATACAATTTTTCCAAGACTTAGGTAACATTTTTTATGACAGGGTGTTTTAAACAATTAGGTTGTTTTCACGAGCCATTTCGCCGACAGCATATTACTTGAATTTGGGTATATGTATCCTCTCGAGATTTAATAATTGTACTTTCAACATGTTGTCATCGAATGGTATATATTTTTTTTAAAGAGCCAGTTGATGATGTTATCTTTTCGCTAAGTAGCTGTTGCTGTTGGCTCCAACCTTCGACTGTGGTATGACCATTGCCCATAACGACAGAATTTGCTTCAAAGTTTGGTAGAATTTTTGAAAACCAACCTTCGAATCTTTGAGGGTCCGTTTCCTCATGGTATTTTTTTTTTTATTGAATTCGAATAGTAACAAGCCGTTGTCCAAAAAAACTCGAATCGCTGACCATAACTTGTTAAAAACCCTTTAATGAAGGCTTGTCGACGTCTTTTATTTTCAAAATCTTGCCACAACTTTGAGACAGTATACCCTTGATGTAGCCAAGTTTCATCTAAATAGTACACTTTTCGCCTTTCACGACGATACTCTCGGATTTTTCGTAAGTAATGTATCCGGCCCAAGATAATTTTTTTTTTTTTCTATAAGAACACCGGTCCTTCTTCTTTTCATATATTTGATATTCATTTGCCGTAATGTTCGCAATAAAATACGATATTTTGGGTATTGAACCATCAGAATTTATTTCGACTTCAACTTTTTGGGATTGGGATTTCGTTTCGAAAAAAGAAAGCTTGGAATTTCCTCCGAACAGCATATTTGATGTCATCTTCAAGCTGCATACGTTTTCTACCTCTGGTTTCAATGTTTTCAAGCGATACATTATCCGATTTGCCTTCACTTTGTTTAAATTTTTTTAGAATTCTGTATACATCTCGTCGACACTTTAGTCAAATCACTAGACGTTGACCAACACACTTTTGTTCCTTTTACAG